AGTGTTGAAATGATGTTGTGAATAAAATGATTGTATGAAATGAAAAGAAATGCATGCAAAAATGAGCTGCATTTAACTGGCATGAAATATCAGTGTCTTAGTGCCATCTATTTTTGTGACATCAAACTTAACTAAAAGATGCAGCACAGTCCCATCTGAGTGTGCATTTTTCATTACTCGTGCCAGGCCTCTGGCCCCACGAGTTGAAAAATGCAAACTGTTTTTCCACTACTTCTCGTCGACCACATTCCCATCATGCCTTTCACTTGCCGCATGACCGAGCCTTTGATTAACAGGTCAGCAGTTATCTTTTCTAATCACAGTTTTCTTCTTTTTACCACATTTTGAACGCATGAGAATGCAATCACTAATATCACTAAGTATTTACATATCCTCAATGAAGGTGTCATTCTCATTTAATATACAGAGAGTAAATGTTATTTTATTAAAATGCAGTAGTGAAAATCAAGCTCTTAAGTAATGAAATAAATACCAATGTTGGATATTATTTTTATATATTTTATTGAGAGCAATACTGAAAATTCATGATCAAAATTTGAGTAATATGTCTCTTCAAGATATATGTTTGAGCTGATGCACTGATTAAACATGCAGTAGCAGATGCATTGAATGTTACATTCAATATAAAAGAATCAAATGAAGGATTTGCACCAATCACTATTATTAGACCCAACATGTGTAGAGGAGATTTTATTAACCTCAACAACAGTCAACGATCTATTGATATTGATTTCTACAGTTTGTTAAACTTGAGCTTTTCCCATCAAAAACAGTCATACCTGCAGGGCTCAAAATAACGGCCAGTCAACGGACAATGACGGGCCAAAATTTGCACTTGTCCGGTCAAACTCCATTTTGGCCGGTCATCTTGACCATTCAAGACTATAACGTGAAATAAAAAAAACTATCAAAATAACTACCGCAGCGGATTCAGGTCGACTGTAAAGTAAACGAACGATTCTTGGGACGTTGAAAATATAGCGTTGTCCAAGTTCTTATTGAAAAAGTACTCAGATTTTTGTTTGATTCAGTATGATGAGTATCTGTCTGGTTTTTCGTTGTAAACCAGACAAACATTGCGCCACACACTGCATACAAATGACGTGCTGATTTCGCACAGCAACAATAGTTTTCAGGTAGAGCGGATTTCATATGACTGTGCAAAAAAAACACGGTACTTCCGTGCTGTGACCATACAGTGCCATAGCGGGGATGTATTGTTAAATCCTTATTTTTGTTTGGAATCCTAGAAGGCGAGGTTCCGTGTCCGTACCGTGATCCATGCCTTTGCACAGTCATACGAAATCCGCTTAACGATCAATTCGTCGGTCGTGTCAGTTCTCAGTGCGCTCTCTTCATTCACTGTTGGCTTCCTTTGCTGATTTCGTTGCAGATTTTCTTATGGTGTTCGGATCAATTCCTCCCCCAACAAAGTCTGCGCACTCGAGCRACRGTTTTGTCTKCCRTRCTTGTAATATGTTCCGACTACACGCAGTTTAGTTGTTTTTCGTATTTGTGAAATGTCAAAGCAAAAGACTTGCTATAAATCAGTGAATAGTTATACAAATCAGTAAAAAGTTAAATTGATCTAATTAATCATCGGCGCTGATCTTCGTGATTTTCACTTTTTTCGTGGAATTTGAGTTTTTAGCGTTTTTTTTTCTTCGCAAGATTTTCACGCTGCATGCTAAATTTTTATTATATGAAACGCTCAAAAATGAAAGCTTTTGTTCTTTTTAGTCTTTTGATGCCAATAAACTATGATTTTTGTATGAATAAGATATGTTTTAATTTAAGTTTTTATGTTTATTTTTTTTCCTTTCTGTCCAGGCAATTTTGAACGGTCATCATGTCCGGTCACTGACCGGCCGTTATTTTGAGCCCTGTACCTTTAAGAGAATTATGTTCAAGACACATGTTCATCTCAACAATCAGAGGATTTTTTACACTTAATTTATCTTAACTTATTATAATTTTAACTTAATTTATTGTTACTGCAGTTTCAGATTTTAGAGTTAACTTACTAATGCCTAATGATCAAACATTCTTGGTAGAGGGAGTTATGAATAGTTGTAAAGCACATATGAACTTATGGATATTTGTGCTATATAAATGCCACATTATTATACCCTGCGAGCAGAGGAATTTTCCACCCCCTTCTACGAAGAAAAGGAAAAATACCTCTGCCACGGGACGGTTAATTTCCTGTTGAGCATGCGCATGGAACGATGATATGATTGGATGTTATCTATGACATTGATTGACGCTCTGTCAAAATCGCGTCTATCGTATAACGTGTTTTTTGTTCGCGGAAAACTATCGCAGCTATAGTACTATTAAACGATGGTGTGTTTGACCTAATTTTTTCATTAGAAAATAGAAAATATCCTTTGAAAACTCCTCTGTTTATAGATAAATAGATAAGTTCCCGATTATGCTAAGTTTGTTATTTATAAAATTAATATCCGAATATGACCTTTTGACACGCACCATTTCATCATCAAGACGGATAAATTTGATGTTGTAAGTAAGGCAACAATATTTGACAAACATTCATTCCCTGTTGCAGCTTAATCMAATTTTCAGTTAAAATTTTTAGAGCTTTGAAATACGGATTCTGTAATAAAAAACATTCGGTCACAAGAATGCTGTGAATCATCTGTCAAGAAGAACGCTGTGATTGGKTTAGTCACGTGGAGTGATCACATGGTTTACCTCCAAGATTTTGGAGGCGGCAACATCACAAGAACTAACCGTYCTRTGGCAGAGGTGTTTTTCCTTTCGTAGATAGGGGAAAAATTCCTCTGCTCGCAGGGTACATTATTATTATGCATAGATATCTTTTCCTGATAGTTTTAGAGGTACACCTACTTGCAGAAACGTTGTCATAGAAAATAGAACATTTGAATTTAGTAAAAAGGAATAAATTAAAACAAGACAAAAGAAAGCGTTCAGCCACAGTGATCTTCTTTTGTCTTTTTTAATTTATTCCTTTTTTACTAAATAAAAATGTCCTATTTTCTATGACAACGTTTTCGCAAGTAGGTGTATGTCATGCACAGATAAGAGCAAACATTAGATTTGACTCATCTAAAACCTTGTCACAGACAAGTTTGTATTAATCCGTAAAAGCATGGGATCGTGATGTAATACCACAGGTAAACAACATTCCAATGTGAGCACTTGCTTATACAAAAACAGCAACCAGTTCATTCTTTTGTTCTCCATTTTGTGTACATGGAAAATACTCAAATAACAAAACTATTAAGTTACATTTCTCCCAAGCAAGAGTTGGGCAGCCGGTGGAAGCCTGAGTTTACATGCTCGCAGGGAAATGCTATATTGCTGACAGCAAAGCAAATCCTGAATGTTTCAATGCAAGAGAAGAAGTCATACACAGGGTCCGTGCAGAGTATCAAAAACGAAATTTAAGGACTTTTCAAGGACTCTTTCCAGGACCAAAAGTGTATTTTCAAGGAGCATCAAAATCATGCTAATTGTAGATTCTTACCTCAAAACTTCAGACGAACGGAATAATTCAGAGATCGCTAGCGCTTCGTGATAGAGATCCATCTTTTAATTTCAAGGAGTTTTCAAGGACTTTTTCTTTCGAAATTTTCAAATTTTCAAGGAGTTTCAAGTGCCCTTGAAAACGAGTTTTCAATTCAAGCACTTTTCAAGGATTTAAGGACCTGCACGGACCCTGAATACAGAATTAAGTACGGATTCTTTAAAGAAAACTTCAACAAGGGAATTTGAACCACCTAAACGCTTACCGACTTCTTTATAGATCTTCTCGTAGTTGGCCGTGTCTCTTTCATTCACCTCGTACACGGTCTGTGTTTTCCCCATGGCAAACTCACATTGTGCTAACTGTGCCAACATTTTCTGATAGGATGAATCTCTATAAAAGGAAACTATTTTATGGTCTGATGATATCTATCGTACAAATAGACTAGGGCACGTTTACTAACTTGTCGCTGGAGTTTTCATCRTCGTCGTTACACCATCTCAGCATGGTTTTTAGCAGTGTGGTTATTCGACGATCGTCGCCAACGCCATCACCATCGATCAGTAGCCTCTTACGTATTATCTCGTCTGTAAAAGTAYGAAATAAAGCTTACAAACACGAGAAAATAGTAATTTAACATCTACAAACTTACCATCCGCCATTTTTCAATGTTGGACAACCGCTGGTCAARGAAATATATTACTGAACACAGGAAACCCAAAAGTAGTAAGCAAAACATGGCATATCAGGAACGGCGGAGCCGGTTTTTGATTGGGGGCAATTTTCTACCCATCCACCCCTATCATTCACTCATTTTTTGACTCTCATATGCGTTTGCTGTTATTAATCCTCATTATTATTATTTTTACTTTTTATTCTCAAGAATTAAAGAATTATTGTGGCTAAAGCCCCCCCCCCCCCCCCAGCCCCCAAGGTCCGCCATCCCTGTCCACACAAACAAAAGTATTAAAGTTTTTTCAAATTCTAATTGTCTTGGTTACTTGGGCTATTCAGCTCATCCAGTTCATTGTTGTTCTGACAATGTTTCAAAGTCATTTCTTTTATATTTTGGTCTAGTTTGTACGGGTGATCAATCTTTTACATTGTTTTCACACGTTGTACTATAACTCTTATAATCTCTAAGCAGCTATAGTAGGAAAGAGGAGACCAGGCCGACCACGAATGTTGTATCTTAAATACATGCAACAATGGCTGGGTTAGGAGATGGCTCTCTTCAGCCTGATCAGATAGGTCATGGCGCAAAACTGTGGACAATGGAGAGGGATTGTGGTCACCCGAGCTGCATCCAAATGATGATGATGAGTAAGCCTACCTTAAACATCTCTTTTACATTATAATATTGAGGGAAAGTACATCTGTCATAGTTTTTCACATCCATATGTTAATATGGCATGGCACAGGAATGGCATGGAATTTACCATAGCTAAAGAAGAAGTTCACATACTATTTATTTGTCTATTTCTTTAATATTGACTTTGCAGTGATTTTCATMCATCTGTAGCATATATGTAACATCGATATAATCATTTTATGGTGCTGATCCCACACTATAGAGTCCACTAATGTTTCCACTTCACTGAATGCCCATCAGACATCTGGGGTTCAAGAAACCCTCGAAACTCAGATCCATCACAGGACCATCTGGCTCCATATCCCAAACTGCACCTGACCTCAAGCACCTCAACACCATGTGGAAGTGAATGAATATTTACCCATGATGCATCATTCAGTATTTTGTAAAGTATTGTACATGCATGGGAATTCTTACTAGMTTCATTTCCTGTACATGCTCCCCAATACATAGCTGTCCCATCTCGATGGCAATGCTTTGATAGAGCTCTAGCCCCAACAGTCAATGCAGAWGTAGATTTATGAGGTTGACAGAATGATTTCAATAAAGCTCCCAATGGTGGGGGTAAAACATTTATGCTGCCTACAGTATGGCGAATACCTAAAATATTTAGTATTAATCTTACATTATTACCAAAAGAATTCAAAATTGCTCCAACAAGAAATCGTTTTTCTTCTGATGAGTGTGAACATGATATTCTAAAATCCTGTAATAATTTCTCAATAWCTTTATCGTGCAGGCTGCTGTCACCAGCAACAGAACTTTCTTCAAGTAACTCAAAGTTTTGCAGTCTCTCTGTGGGTTTAGTTGATGAATTCATCCATTCGATTAAGCGTCGAGCTAGTTCTTCATATAAGGGATACTTATAATAACATTTGTTACCAGTTAACGGTGGAAAATTACAATCGTCCAAGTATTGATCTTGCTCCAATAGTTTGTTTGTAAGTTCCTTAGACAGAAAGCTTGATTGATGGGYTAAAACATCCTTAAAAACAGCGCAAAATTCTATTTCATCCATCCKTGCATCAAAAAAATCTGTTTGTACTTCTTGCCGCTGAACATACATGTAACAGATTGAGCCCGTCGAACAGAATAAATYTCGGATCGAAACACATGATATGTCATAAGGAGTCATAAGACAAAAAAATGAAAAGCGAAAAAAATATGCTCGGATTATCAGAATTATCATTTTATTTTATTTTTTTTACATATTCCATGGTGCACTTTGTAGAATTTGGGCCTCCTGTGGTTTAGTTTACATTTTTGGAACAAACATCGCAGGCTCAGATGTAKTCCAAATGATGATGTGTTGTTTTGGTTCGATTTTCGTTCTTCTTTTTCTTACTTTTACAAGTGTTTTTGTTGGAGGTACGCAAAACTACAAGCACATTACAGTGGCTACGTATAACCTATGGAATGTGATGTTTACGTGGGAAGCGAGAAAATACTACATCGTTGAAATGGTGAGTGCAAATACGAGCTAAGCTTTTATATTTTTTCTCGACTGACATGGAACGTAAGCTTATTAAATTTGTTGTTGCTTACAAAAAGGTTAGTATGATTAGACTGTAATTTATATATTTTTTGATTTAATAGGCATTATCTTGACACTTTATCATTTTGTTATCCTTGTG